AAAAAAAAAAAAAAGAAAATACATTTACTATTCATTAAGTGGAAGTGGATTATCATAAAAGACTTCATTCTCATTGTCTTCGCGTTGAGTAGGAGGAGGCAGAGGAAGAGGAGGGAATTGGTCTTGTTGTGTCCAGTTCTTGTCTGCGTACAAGCTCCCCCAGGCAGTTCAAGCCTGTGTGGTTCAACAGCAACTATACTGGCGCTGGGCCGCCATTTGGAAGTTTCCCAAGGGGAACACTCAGGCCTGGATGTGATAGGAGGTGACGTAGATGGAGGTTTATTGTGTGACAGGCTTTGTACATCGTACACTGCATGAAGCAGGGACTCTTAGTATCTTCATACTGTAGAAGAAGAAACTGAGGGGCTGGGCATGGTGGCTCAAGCCTGTAATCCCAGCACTTTGGGAGCCTAAGGGAGAGGAACTCTTGAGCCCAGGAGTTGAGACCAGCCTGGGCAATATGGTGAAACTCCATCTCTACAAAAAATATAAAAATTAGCCAGGCATGGTGGCACATGCCTAGTCTCAGCTACTTGGGAGGCTGAGGGAAGGAGGATCACCTGAGCCCCAGGGGTCAAGGCTGCAGGGAGCTGTGACCATGCCACTGCACTCCAGCCTAGGTGACAGAGTAAGAACCCTGTCTCAAAAAAACAAAATGACAATAAAAAGGCCAGGTGTGGTGGCTCACGTTCCCAGCACTTTGGGAGGCTAAGGCGGGTGGATCACTTAGATCAGGAGTTTGAGACCAGCCTGGCCAATACGGTGAAACCCATCTCTACTAAAAATACAAAAATTAGCCCAGTGTGATGGTGTGCATCTGTAGTCCCAGCTTACTCGGGAGGCTAACACAGGAGAATTGCTTAAACCTGGGCAGCCCGGGCAGGGTCAGACACTCTACCCACACACCCACATTCAGCCCCAGGGGATGCGGAGGTTGCAGTGAACTATTACATAACTGCACTCCAGCCTGGGTAACAGAACAAGACTGTATTAAAACAAACAACAACAAAAAACCGAAAGGAGGTTCCCAGGTCCACTCTACTCCTGACCCAAAGGGAGACTGAGCATTACAGAAAGTCGCCCCTTGAGATACTTGACTGCCATCTGCTGGAAGATAGAATAAATGTAAAATCTACACTATGATGTTAGTGGTGTCCACTTAGATGCGGGGCTTTGGTGCCGTGTACAACCTGCCCAACCTTATGTGTCAGCCTTGAGTGCCCGTGGTTCTTGGGTAACAGGGCTTGAAGGCAATGGTCGTCTTCTTCCCTCTCATAGCCAGATACGATGCCGGTTCTTCGTGCGAGGGAATGGCCGCTGCCCCTTCAAATCTGAGTGTATCTACCTGCACCAGCTCCCAGCTAAGGCCCTGACCTCCAGTTCTCCCTGGCCTAAGAGAGTGCAACTGGCCTCTGGGAGTGAGGTGGTAACTGCAGGGGTATGGGGCAGGGGAGGCTGCTGGTCATGGCTTCTAATAAATGTTTGTGATAAATGTAAAACCTATGGATGGTGTCTATGATGCTAATATGGTGCCTACTTAGATGTGGCACATTTGTGCTGTGTACAACTTGCCTGACCTTATATGTGAGTCTTGAGTTCCTTGATTCCTGGGGCAACTGGTGTTGAAGTTGATGGGTTTTCACTGATTTTATTCTCTATTCCCAGGTGCCAGGCCCAGCATCGTTCCTAAGGGGTGCTGAGCCACAGTACAATGCGTTCTTCAGGAACAGTGCCCTGGCCGTGACCTTCTGGGGTTCAGAACTACTGCAGGACCCCAACAGTTCTTGCCATGGCCTTCTGTAACCAGGATCAACTTGAGGGAGATTGGGGTGAGGGGAAGGCGTTTCTAACCCTTTTTGGGTTTGGTGGAGGAAAAAATAGCAAGCCCTCCACCCCCATGAACTGCAGCAGTGACACAGCTGGGGACATGGGGGCGGAGGCTCCTAGCATGAGAAAGGTTCAAAGCCTCTTGCCAGGGCCTTGGTTTTTAACTTTGCTCTTTTGTAGAATGACTCTGAAAGAAAACCAATAAAATGCACTAAGTTATCATTGCTGGTGTGTGAAGAGTGCTCTGCTCATGGCCCAGCCCCACTGCCAAGGGCAATAAGGCTGCTTCTGCATTCAATCTGTTGCCATATTACCTGTTACTTAGCTTCTGGAAAACTTCATGGTGCATTCATAAGAGAGTGAGAGTGGAAATGGCAAATAACATCTTCGCATTATGAAAATAGTGATAACCTCATGAAACTTGTGAAAGGGACTCGGGGATCCACCAGGGTTCTTGAGCCGCGTTTAGAACTTTTCCTCCCTGTTCCCTTTCAGATGGCTAGAATGCAGCCTGTAGTGGGTGGGAGCCACAGCCCCTCGGAGTAAAGCTGTAGGTGAGGATGCGCCGGGCACTGCAGGCTGTTCAGCATTCTTGGCCCTGCTGCTATTCATCAGGTCCCATCCCTCTAACAGCTTGTCATCAAAGGCCCAAAACACCCCCTGTAAAGTTAGAGCTGCTTATCTGAAACAGAAGGT